TCACTGTGATGGACTTGTCCTAATGTACAAAGCATTGTTTTAATTTTTGCCTCCGTATTTTGGTTTAAAAAAAATGCCTCTGAGTGATGCAAAAGTCCTGCCTTACAGGTTTTTGTCTTACAGCAGAGGATTTGGTTGGAAAGCCATTTCACCGTAAGTAATCTTTTCTTCTTTCTTCTAAAATCCAGTTTTTGTTTCACTGAAGTTCTTACTTTAACAACATCTTTCATGAATCTTTATCCCTTGGGATATGAGATTAGAAAGCTAGTAGTAGACCTTTGAACTTTGAGCCTGTTTTTCTGCAAGTGAATCTGAACAAATATCAAGTCTATTGTTTTTGACCCATAAGAAAAACTATATTTTACTCAGCCTAAAGGTTACAAGCAATGGTTTCAAAACTTCTAACTAGTAGGTCCCATGTGGAGTACAAAATGAGCTTGGAACTGGGTTGTGCAATTAGGAGCATAGTATATAGAAGATATGAAGTAATTCTCTAGCTATGAGAAATACCATTCAATTCATACAAGACATAGAATGTAGGGAAAAGAATATGCCATTTAAAGGGAAATAAGTAAGCAACTAAGGAAAATTGCATTTCTTCATTTTATAGCTTAAGGAACTGAGGCGCAGAGTGGTTTGCTCAACAGCCCAGCAGTTCCCAAAAGAACTCTCAACCTTTTTTACTAAACAATCCCTCCTCCAAAGATAAAGTAACCATTTGAGGAATACTACTAATATGTTCTCTTCCAAAGGGGAAAAACACTATTTCTTTCCCTTAATGCCTTTTTTAACATGATAAATTATAATCTCCAACAATATGTCCAAGAGGCATCTCAAACTCAAGGCATCCAAAACAGAAAGCTGACTCCTCCTCCTAACTTGCCTATTTCTGTTGAGGACATCACAATCTTTTCAGTTATGCAACCTCAGAGCCATCCTTTACTCTCCTCTTCCCTAGCCTTCACAACCAGTCAGTTGCCAAGTCTTGTTAATTCTACTGCATAATCTCATATCCATTCCTTTTTCTGTACTAATGTACCTGCCCCCCTAGTTTAGACCCTAATCATTTCTCCCTTGTACTATTACAACATCCTCCCTGTCTCTTATCTTTCCTCTCTCCAAATCATTCCACAAATAGCTGGCAAAGTGATATTCTTTTTTAAATAATTTTTAAAATGTTTTGGTATTCTGTACTTAACAGACACTAATTAACACGTGTATTTCCTCATACAAAGAACAACAGAAAGATTGCATATGAAACTGCTTGCCTCTTTTTTAAAAAAAAGTTAGATTTAAAGCTATCCTCCTTGCTTGTGTCCCCCTCCAAACCACCTTCTGTTCTCTTCTGTTTTTTCAATGCTTCATTACTATCACTCTTCTCCTTCTCCTCCTAAAATTTTCCGTTGATATTAAAAAGAAAATAAAAGTCCTTTCTTGTGTCTAATAAGTCCAGTTAAGCAAAGAAAACCCACATGTAGGTCACATCTAAAAATTTATATGTTGTTTTGAATCTCATGTCCATCACCTCTACCAGGAGGTGGGAAGCATGCTTTTTGTTGTTTGTTCTCTGGAGTTGTGGCTGCTCATTGCATTGATCATAATTCTTAAGTCTTTCAAAATTATTTTTCCTGGGGGCAGCTAGGTAGCGCAGTGGATAGAACTCCAGCCTTGGAGTCAGGAGGACCTGAGTTCAAATGCGGCCTCAGACACATAACACTTACTAGCTGTGTGACCCTGGGCAAGTCACTTAACCCCAATTGCCTCACCAAAAAAAAAAATATATATATATATATATATATATATTTTTTTTTTCCCTTTCAGTGCAGTAGTCAATGTATAAATTGTTCTCCTAGGTCTAGTCACTTTGCTCTGTACCATTTCATACAAGTCTTCCCATATTTTTCTGAATCCATCCCTCCTTATTTCTTATGGCACAATAATATTCCATTACATTTATGCACCATAATGTATTCAATCATTCCCCAATTGATAGGCACCTAATTATTTTCTAGTTCTTCGCTACAACAAAAAGTATTGCCATAAACAACATTTTTTACATGAGTCCTTTCTCTTTGTATTATATATCTAGGAGTGTTATCACTGGGTCAAAAGATATACACAATTTGGTGACTTTCTGAGTATAGTTCCAAATTGTTTTCCAGAATGGCTGGACCATTTCACAACTCCACCAACTGGGTATGGGTGTGCCTGCACTCCTCTATCACCTCCAACAATTGTCATTTCCCTCTTTTGTAATCAAAGCAGTGTTACTAAAGCATAGGTCTGTCCATGGCATGATCCTACTTAAACTCCAATGGTATTTCTTCTTGTCTCTAGGACAAAATGTTAACTCCTGTTTGGCTTTTAAAGCCCTTTGGAATCTAGCTCCAGGCTTATTGAACATTACTCTCCTTCACCTTCTCTACATTCTAGACAACCTGGCCTACCTGCTGTTCCCTGTAAATGACTTTTGATCTACCTCTAAGTATCTGTACAGGCTGTTCCTCATGCCTGACATAAGTGCTCCCCCTGTCTACACCTCAGCTCAAGGGCCATTTCCCATACGAGATTCTTCCTGATTCCCCCAGTAGCTATTGCCTTCCCCTTAGAAATGATTTTGTATATATTTTGTATTTAATTTTCTATTAACATGTTTTCTATCAGTAGACTATAAGCTCCTTGAGGGGCTATTTTTGTCCTTATATCCCCAATTCTTAGCACAGTCCACACATAGTAGGTATTTAACAAATGCTGGCTGAATTGAAGTTTTAAGCCCAGTAGAATCATATAGGGAAACAAGGATTTTTAACATACTCCATTTGGTATGGTGACATGCAAAGAAAACCACTTTCTTCTGGTTTTCCTCCTACCTATCTGACTGCACCTTCTCAGTTTCCTTTACTGGATCCTCCTCCAAATCACACCCTCTAACCATACGTGTGCCTCAGGGTTCTGTCCTGGGCCCTCTTCTTTTCTCCCACTATACTACTTCACTTGATGATCTCATCAGCTCCTATGGATTTAATGACCATCTCTATGCTGATGATTCTCAAATCTCAAATATTTTGCCCTAACTTGACCTCTCTGCTGACCTCACATCTCCAACTGCCTTTCAGACTTATCAAACTGGATGTCCAACACGTCCAAAATCAAGTTCATTTATCTTTCCTCCCCTATACCCTTCCCACCTCCTACCTCCCCTGTTACTATAGAGGACAACACCATCCTCCCAGTCCCCCAGGCTCACAACCTAGGAATCATCCTGGCTTACTTACTATCTCTCATGCCGTCACCCCCCCCCACCCCATATCCCAGCTGTTGCCAAGGACAATCAGTTTCACATTTGCAACATCTCTTGAATATGCCCTCTTCTCTCACGATCTGTTGGTGGGCCTGCCTGCCTCAAGTCTCTCCCCACTCCAATCCATCCTCATACAGCCACCAAAGTGATTTTCCTAAAGAATGAATCTGACCATGTCATCCCCCTACTCAATAAACTCCAGTGGCTCCATTTCACCTCCAAGGTCAAATACAAAATCTTCTTTGGCATTCAAAGCCCTTCACATCCTAGACCCCTCCTATCTTTCCAGTCCTCTTATAGTACACCTTACTACCAGACACATACTCTTCAGTCCAGTGACACTGCCCACTTTGCTATTCCATGAACAAGACACTTCATCTCTTGGCTTCGGGCATTTTCTCTGGCTGTGCCCCGGGTCTGTAATGTTCTCCCTCCTCTCTGATTACTAATCTCCTTGGCTTCCTTTAAGTCCCAACTAAAATCTCATCTCCTATGGGAAGCCTCTCCCAACTCCTAGGGCTTTCCTTCTCTTAATTATTTCCTATATATATGTCCAATATATAGCTTGTTTATACATTTATTTGCTCATTATGTCCCCCACTGGACTGGGAGCTCTTTGAGTGTAGGGATTGTCTTTGCCTGCAACAAAGTAGGTGCTTAATAAATGCTTATTGACTGACAAACTGTCTGAATACTGGACTGGAAGTGAGAAGAACTAAGGTATAATTCTGGTCCTGTAGCCCATTCAGAATGTGTCCTTGGATAAATCACTTTGTATCTGTTTACAAAATAATGTAAGATTCATAAAATAAGGAGGGCAGAAAAAGACCATATGTGAAAAATATATCAAAGCAATATACTTAGGATTTATTGTTTCTCTAGATTTGTCAATGACTTATCTTTTATGCTACCTAAAATTTACAAATACAAAACTGTATGTAAATATATTGAGAAGATGCATCAGTTAAAATAAGGCTCAAAAATAGCTTTGTATTTCATTTTAAAAAATCTTTCTGATATAATAAATGAGTATAGCACCTCCAGGATTGTATCCAAAAACCTCTGTTCAGCATTCAAAGGCCTTCATAACCTAGGCCCCCACCTTTCCGGTCTCATACCTTACACTTCCTTCATGCACTCTTCAATCCAATGATAATGGTCTCCTTGCCATTCCATGAAAAAACATTCCATCTCTCTGCTCCCAGCACTTTCTGTGGATGTCTCTCATGCTTGGATTATTCTCCTTCCTTATCTCTATCTCTTGGCTTCCTTGGCTTCCTTCAAGTCCCAGTTAAAACTTCACATTCTACAGGAGGCCTTTCTAAATCCGTCTTAATTCTAGTGTCTTCCTTCTATTAGTTATTCCTATTTATCTTGTTTGTACATATTTGTTTGCTTGTTGTATACTCCAGTGGATTGTGAGCTCCTCAAGGGCAAGAACAGTCTTTTGCCTTTCTTCGTATCCCCAGTGGTTGGCACAGTGCCTGGTACACAGCAGACACTTAATAAATGCTTACTGACAAGTAGAAATGTGCTTACACTTTGCTAAAATAAACTCAGAGAGGCAAAGAAACAAACACAATTGATTTGGGAACCTAACTGAATTTTAGAAGCTAGTTTACCTAAATTAGAAAGTTAGTTTTAACATCACTTTACAATTAGGTATAAGTTACTCAAAAAGATACCTGATAGTACTTACTGAATCTTTAGCCAATCTGCCACAAATGGAATTGAGAAAAATTCTGTGAATGGCTCGTCTATCCTCTTTGGATTCTGGCTGATCATTATGCCATAGTATTTGGTTGAAATGAAAAAAACAAGTATTCATCTTAATTGTTACAATACATTACAAATTAGCATTGCTGAAATATTATTAGGGATGCTGAATATTCAAAAAGATAAAGAACTTACTTGTATAACCACTCAGTCAGAAAATCACAGGCAATAAATTTTGTTTTTTTCCGCTGAAGAGAGAAGAGAGTTTCATATTATGTACCTATTGCAATTGATTACAACTCTATAAAGTGCAGAGGAAGAGAGGCTAATTGATTGCTTTTGTTAGATGAAATATGCATAAGAGTCTACTTCAGTTTTGTAAGTACTAGTCAGCAGCAAAGCTTAAATGAAGTATAGAATGTTCAAGACTTACAGAGCTAGATCTAAGTAAAAACATTCCCTAAACAGAATTGGCATTTTTTAAAAATTCAATTTAATTTAATTTTTTTTTCCATATGCTTTTGAGTTGAAATTTTTTTCTCCCTTTTTCTCTCCCCCGCACCCTCCCCAAGACGGCGCACAATCTGACACAGGCTTTACATTTACATACCCATTAAACATATTTTCACATTAGTGAAGTTGTAAGTAAAAATTAAAACCAATAGGAGGAACCATCAGAAAGATGAAACAAAATTCAACTTAAGGTAAAAATAAGTGACAGCGATTTGACTTCCATAGTTCTTTCTTTGGATGTGGACAGCATTTTCCATCCCAAGGCCTCTGGAGATGTCTTAGATCCTCGTAATGCTGAGAAGGGTTCAGTTTAACATTCTTAGTCATTGCATAACGTGGCTGCTATTGTATACAAAGTCCTCTGGGTTCTGCTCACTTCACTCAACATCAGACCATATAAGTCTTCCCAGGTTTTTTTGAAGTCAGCCTGTTCATCATTTCTTATAGAACAATAGTATTCCATTACATTCATATACCACAACTTGCTCAGCCATTCCCCAATTGATGGGCATCCTCTCAATTTCCAACAATTGGTATTTTTTAAAAATTCAGTCTATGAAGCTTTTTACTGAGCAACCATGCTCAATCCTTTTTTTCTTTTCCCAAAATCCATCTTTATAAAAAAAAAAATCAAAGACTTCTAAAGAACATGTTAGGATAATTCAATTAAATTCAATAAACATTTATTTTGTTTGTTGATTTTTTTAAATTATCGAGCATTTATTTTCTCTCTCTCTCACTTCTTTCCCCACTGGGAGAAAAAAAGAGAAAAACAAAATCCTTGTAATAAATATGCATAGTCAAGCCAAACAAATTCTCATACTAGATATGTCCAAAAATGTATGTCTTATTCTGTACCATGAGTCCATCACCTCTCTGTCAGGAGGTAGATAAAATTCTTTATCATTAGTCTTCTAGAACCAAAGTTGATCAGAGTTTTTAAGTCTTTTAAAATAGTGTGTTTTTACAAGGTTGTTGCTATAGCATAGACTGTTTTGTTTCCACTTCACTTTGTATCAATTCATGTAAATCTTTCCAGGTTTTTCTGAAATTATCCTGCTTGTCATTTCTTATAGCACAATAGTATTCCATTACAATCATGTACTACAACTTGTTTAGCCATTCCCCAACTGATGGGCATCCCTTCAATTTCCAATTCTTTGCCTCCACAAAAATTGTTGCTGTAAATATTTTTGTTCAAATACGTCCTTTCCCTTAAAAAAAAAACTTCCTTTAGGATATAGACCTAGTAGTGGTATTGCTGGGTCAAAGAATATGCACAATTTTATAGCCCATTGGCATAGCTGCAAATTGCTCTCCAGAATAGTGATTCTATGATCTTATATCAAATAAAAGAAATTACCAAAAAAGGATGATCGAGAGAACGACAATTTATGGAAGAAATGATTACTTTCTCATCATTAGTAAATTTTCGTGAAAAGTATTTACACGTGCACCAAATGTATCCCTGAAAATATGAGGTGGTTATTGATAGGCTTTCACAAATTATCTTCTACAGTCGATCACCTCTTTAGTGTTATGCAGTAGACAAAAAGATAAAGAGAATACAAACACCACTGTAGTTTTCTGGGTTTTTTTTAAGTACTTGACTTGATAAAGCAAAATGTAATCTCAAAGGTTCCTTTCTGACAAGGATACTCCTATTAATGTATGTGGACATAGGATGCTAGTATCTGCTAGAGAGAAGAAAGCAATTACAGCCAGAAAAAGCAGTGATGCTATTGCTGTCATAGTGATTCAGAGCTGGAACACCTACCAGGACAGGCTGACAAGGCAGATACCACTGTTACCCTACCTCCACGCATGGGCAGCATGAGAGACACACTGGCCTACAGAGCAAGGAGAAAATACAGAGATGCCCTAACAGAATATGTGGCTAGGAGAGGAAACTAGAAATGGTGATCCTGAGTCTCATCCTTTGTCTTCCTTCTCTACCTTCCCCTTTTCCCATCCCTGATCTCTCCAGGGAAAAATGAATCTATTTTTCCAATCTTTGCCTTTTAAGAGTTTGTGGACAATTTTACCATTTGTTTCAAAAGAAACTGGTTTCTCTAAAGACAACATTCATTGAAGTACTAGAGGCAGATAGGTGGTGCAATGGATAAAGTTCTGGACCTAGAGTCAGGAAGACCTGAATTCAAATTCAGCCTCTGACACTTGGTAGCTGTGTGACCCTGGATAAGTCACTTAAATGCTATATATCTCAGTTTCCTCAACTGTAAAACAGGAATAATAATAATAATAGCAATTCCCTCTCAGGGTTGTTGCAAGGGTTCAAATGAGACAATATTTGTATAGTGCTTAATACAATGTCTGACACATAGTAGGCACTTAATAAATTACTGTTCCCCTGCTCTTCTGATTTGTATATGTCCCTGGAAGATTAAATATAGTCAAGAGAGAAGTTATGGTCAATGAGGTATAGAGGGAAAGATAACTGATAGATCCTATTATGGCTGAGAAGCATTTCTTGGCAAAAAGTTAGGACTTACAGCAAAAGAAAAATTTTTTGATACATATTTTTACAGTTTCCAAAAAGTGAAACCATGCCTAAAACCACTGAACCTGAAAAAGTAGTGGTGAGAAGTGGGTCTGTAAATGAGTCGGAGTAGCTTTCTGAGGCAGGTGTTTCACAGCTATCATGCATAAAAATCTCACAACAAGTGTGGCAAAGCAGAAATATTAAACACATCATTTGCTGACACAACAAAATAAAAAGTATAATCAATAAGGGAATCTGAAGAAAGTATTCAATGAAGAATAAATACTATTATACTAAAGAATATGTGGATCAAAGAACAACTCACAAAAGCAATAGATAATTTCATCAAGGAAATAGCAACAACAGGAACATATCAAATTTTGGGGATGCCACCAAAGCAGTCCTTAGGAGAAAGTTTATTATTCTTAACAAAAAGAGGGAAAGAAGGCCTCCTACTAAACTCATACAGTATGAGACAATCACAATCCTAATACCTAAACCAGGGGGAAATAAAACACAGAGAGAAAAACTATAGATTAATATATTCAATGGATATTATGATTCAATAATGCTGAATAAAATGTTAACAAAGATGGTATAGTGATATATTTAAAAGATTATGATTATACACTACAATTGGGGTTAAGTGACTTGCCCAGGGTCACACAGCTAGTAAGTGTCAAGTACCTGGTCTGAGGCCGGATTTGAACTCAGGTCCTCCTCACTCCAGGGCCGGTGCTCTATCCACTGCGCCACCTACCTGCTGCTAGAAAATGCTTTTGACAAAATACAGCATTCATTATGTTTTTTAAAATTAAAACATATATCATTAAATGGTCTTTACTTATTATGATAAACAGTATCTATCTAAAACCAAGATCAAGTATTATCTATAATGGAGAAACACTAGAGTTCTTTTCAGAAATACTAGAAGTAATGGAAGGATTCCACTATTGCCACTATTATTTGATACATTTCTAAAAATACTAACTATAGCAATAAGACAAGAAAACACGTAGGCAATAAGGAATAAAATGACCACTTTTGCAAATGATAAGATGGTTTACTTAGATAACCCTATAAATTCAACTAAAATTGTATTGAAGCAATAACTTCAATAAAGTAAGCAGGATATAAAATAAACTTACTTAAATCATCAGCCTTTTTGTATACTATCTACAAAACCCAACAGGAAGAGATAGAGAAATAAATCCCATTCCAAAAAACTACAGAATGCATAAAATATCAGTCATCCTACCAAAATACACACAGGAATTATATGACTATAGCTACAAAAACACTTTATAGAAATAAAGGAAAACTTAACTAAATAGAGAATTATTAATTGCCCATGGTTGAGTCATGCTCATATAATAAAAACTGAAATAGTACCTAAGTGACTGTATTTCACCACATAATCTTCACCAGTGCATAATCATTGCACCCTGGTTTTTTTTTTAGTCCAAAAATTGGTTTATAATCTTTCATCACGTAATCGTCACATGGTATAATTCTGTTAGTCATGCTGCTTAAAATGTATACAGCAGCAATGTATTCACCACTGGCATATGGATACACATTTATCTCTCATGCATTGCGAGCCACAAGCCTAAAATTCTCAGTGCTTAGGCATGCACTGTCAGCATGTTTCTGAAAGCCAACTTGTAAGGTTTGTTTAGAGAACTGCAGTACTAACAGTATTGTCACTCAACCCAATGAAGAGCTGTAGGCACAAGGGGAGAGGGCGGGCAGGCAAGAGTGAGTCACGTAATATGGTAATTGGGTAATGTATCTTCATATTCATATATAATGTGCATCCTAATTCTGCACCAACGACAGTTTAGTAATAAATGATTAAGCAATACGACCATACTTTTTAAAGCTTCATATAATAGTCGCACCCCACTTTTTGGCATAAAATCTGCAATGATTATGTGTTGAAACACAGTAATTTGCAGATCCAGTGGCATAAACAACCAAGGGTAATACACACACACACACATGAATGTATGTATACATATATAAATGTATATGTACATGAACTTACAAATATCCCTTATATACAGCTTGCTTTTCTTTTTCACATGTAACTTTAAAGCTATCTTGCTCTTGCTCATTAATGATCCTTCTGGCCTGCCTCATAGTACCTTCTGTGCATTTTAAAAAATGCTTCAATGGCATTATTTTCTTCTCTTTCTTTTTCTTTCATTTTATGGGGTAACCCTAACGCTT